ATTACAGATTGCATGTGTTTTCATCCGTCAGATTGCATACCTGACAGTTTATCACAAGGTGAAATAAACTAGCCCTAAGTCAGTACTTCCTACCTGCAACTAGTACCATGTATTGATTTTTGGGCTGGGATTTCCCGCGTATTATCGATTTTTAAAAAAAGAGACATAGCGGGCAAGACTCGCGACACAGGAGGTTTGTTTATTTTGCGTTGATATAAAGCCTGGTTTATACAGGAAATAAAATAAAATAAAATAGGAAATAACATAGCAAATAAGAATAATAAGAAATGAGGTGTTTATACAGAAAAATATAAAATAAAACTAGAACTATTTTGAACCAATCACCACACGCCTGAACTGTCATCGGTCTAATCTAATTGACGTCGTGACATGCGCAAATAGCATTTCCACATAAAATAAAATAAGAAGTTAAAAGTTAACCAACTTTTTATTTTTGCTTATTTCTTATAATATTTTATTTTTGTGTATAAACGCCACTATGGATTCCCATAAGGCAATCTTTTAATTCTATTATACTTTTTATTTTATTTCATTTGCTGTATAAACCCAGCTTAAGAGTGGCGTGTGCGATATAATATACTTTTGCAGTAGGTACAAAAAAATCTGAAAAAAGCTGTAAATAAGCACAAACCATAAAATAAGCATGAAACTTGAAAAAAAGCAAAATAAGCATTAAAAACAGTGCATTTTCGACATTGTTTTTGTCTAATTCGTAAATATTTTGAGTCGCCTTATATTTGCTTGTAATATTAACAAAAAGCATAATGCCTTGAAATCCGGACTCTAGTCATCAGATTCTGTTTGAAAAAGTATTTTAAGAAGGTTTTTACAGAAATCAATTATTTTCATAAATTAAAAAGTTGTGAAGCTTTTCCTATTAAAAGTGTCCAATTTGGACTACCCTGTACTCGCTAGAGATTAAAATATAATTAAAATAATATCACTTTTGGAATATATATTGTGTTATTTTTTAAAAAACCTAATTTTATCGACCAAAGTTAAATTACCTACAATATTTCACAGTAGATAATGAAAAAAAAAAAAAAACTTTGACCTAATTTTTCAGTATCACCCTGTATCGCTACGAGGTCGGTGCAATGAAAGAAAATGCTTAATTCTACTTCTTAAAAAACTTTAGTTTCAACAAAATCTGTCGGTGATCGAAATCCATAAGAAGTGTGAGATGTTCTTTGGTAATGAAGAAATTGTCCTAACAACACAAGAAGAATCCGATGCCGTTAAGATCTTGGCCACAACCCGAGTGAGGATTCCTGGAAGTACTGAGAAGATCATTTGGGGAAGATTAGAAACAAACCCTGGGTGCTGCGTTGGGCTAACACGTAATTTTATTGAAGATAAACCAGAAAGATTTCTTGTAGGGAAGACTCTAGTAAGAACAAATGGGGACATTATGATAAGAATTGCCAATGTTTCTTCCGAAACAGTAAGAATAAAAGAAGGAGACATTATTGGAACTCTCGAACTAGTTAAGCAAATATCGAACTGTGACCTTCCAGATAAGCGACATTCTGTGAAATCTAAATTGGATACAGACACCTTGATGCAAACTTTGGCGAAATCATGGAAACATCTCGATCCAGATAAACTCTAAGAAGCCACAGATTTCATCTTGAAAGAAGCAGACGTATTTGTGATGGATAATCAAACCGGACGGACCAACTTAATTCAACACAAAATTGATACTGGACTGGCACACCCAATTAGACAACCACCACGACGTATGCCAGTAGCTAAGCAACAGGAAGTGGAAAACCAAATTGATAAAATGCTTCAAGAGGGTATCATTGAAGAGTCAAATAGCCCATGGTCTGCGCCAGTAGTATTGTTTACAAAGAAAGATGGGAGTCTTAGATTTTGTGTGGACTACCGAAAGCTTAATGACGTCACCAAGAAGGACAGCCTTCCTCTCCCGCGAATAGACGATACATTAACAAATCTATCGGGCTCCAAATGGTTTTCCACCTTGGATCTCAAAAGTGGATACTGGCAAGTGGCGATGACAAAGAGAAAACTGCCTTCAGTACCGGAAGCGGACTATACCAGTTTAATGCAATGTCTTTCGGATTGTGTAATGCACCAGTTACGTTTGAGCGACTGATGCATCTTGTTTTGCGAGGCCTTACATGGAGAACTTGCCTGGTATATTTGGATGATGTCATGATCATGGGAAATTCGTTCCAAGAACATCTCAATAACCTGAAATACGTTTTTGACCGCTTCCGGAATGCCAACTTGAAACTCAATCCAAATAAGTGTTTTCTATTTCAAAAGAAAGTGGAATTTTTAGGTCACGTGGTATCTGAAGATGGCATACAAGTTATGGAAGAAAAAATAGATGCTGTCAGGGACTGGCCAAAACCACGCGACAAACATGAACTAAGGAGTTTTCTAGGATTATGTTCTTATTATCGAAGATTTGTGGAAGGATTCGCCAATGTAGCTGCTCCGCTTCATCGATTAACAGAAGAAAAATCAACATTCAATTGGACCCAAGAATGTGATTCCGCATTTAGAAAATTGAAAGGAGCATTATGTACCAGTGTTGTCCTATCCTGATCAGAAAGGCATGTTGATTTTGGGCACAGATGCAAGTAACACCAGTGTTGGAGCTGTCCTTTCACAAATCCAAAATTCACAAGAACATGTCGTGGAGTACTACAGCAGAACCTCATCAAAGCCGGAACGAAATTATTGTGTCACCAGAAGAGAGTTGCTTGCCATAGTAAAAGCAGTCGACCATTTTCATAAGTATCTCTACGGACGCAGGTTTCTAATTCGAACAGATCACGCAGCTCTAAAATGGCTTTTAGAAATGACAACTCCTGAAGGACAGCTTGCTAGATGGATTGAGAAATTGCAGCAATACGATTTCCAAATTAAACATCGACCTGGAAACCTGCATAAAAATGCTGACGCTCTGTCTAGACGGTCATGTAAAGAAGATTGCAAACATTGTCAAAGAATCGATATACATGAGAAAAACACTAGTCCAGCTGTAAGAAGAACGGGCCTGATCGTCGATGACAAATGGACTACCAAGCAAATGAGAGAAGATCAGGAGGCAGACCAGGACATCGGGCAAATTCTACATCTTGAAGAAAATGATGAATGTAGGCCAGAATGGAGGGAAGTGTCAAACAAGAGCTTGATTTACAAGGCGTTGTGAGCCCAGTGGAACTCTCTGGCCGTAGATAATGGTTTGCTCAAAAGAGTTTGGGAAAGTGCCGATGGGAAATCCACTAAGAGCCAACTGGTTTTAAAAGAAATACACGACGGAACTTCAGGGGAATATTTCGGAGTTAATAAGACTTTGGACAAAATTCGGGAACGTTTTTACTGGGTTCACTACCATGAAGACGTTAAAAGCTGGTGCCGAAAATGCGACATCTGTGCTACCAGTAAAGGCCCTAAACTAAGATCTCGGGGGCCCATTAAACAGTACAACGTCGGTCTTCCATTTGAGAGAATAGCGATAGATGTAGCAGGACCATTCCCAGAGTCAGAGCGTGGTAACAATTACATCTTAGTTATCATGGATTACTTCAGTAAATGGCCAGAAGTTTTCGCTATTCCCAATCAAGAAGCCATCACTGTTGCCCAGGTGCTAGTGAACGAAGTTTTTAGTCGTCATGGTGTGCCACTAGAGTTACATTCAGACCAGGGACGAAACTTCGAATCTGCCATCTTCAAGAAAATTTGTGAGATCGTGGGCATTTGTAAGACAAGGACAACACCTTTACATCCACAGTCTGATGGCATGGTAAAACGATTCAATAAGACCATAGAGGAATACCTGACAAAAGTGGTCGCAAGGAACCAGCGAGATTGGGACAAGCATTTGCCTCTATTTTTAATGGCTTACAGAGCAGCTGTTCACGAGTCAACAGGTGAGAGTCCAGCCAGAATCATCTTTAGAAGAGAACTCAGGTTACCTTGCGATCTGATGTTTGGGATACCTGAAGAAGAACGAAGAGAAATCCGAGATTATGCCGACGAAGTAAGGGCACGACTTGTGGGTATCCATGATTTTGCTCAGGAGCATATTCAACTAGCCAGTGACCGGATGAAGACCAGATACGACCTGAAAGCCAATTCAGCCGGATTTCAAGAAGGTGATTTAGTGTGGCTGTATAATCCAGCTAGAAAGAACGGAGTATCGCCGAAGTTGTCTTCAGCATGGGAAGGACCCTATAGAATAATCAAGAGGATCAATGATTTGGTTTATCGAGTCCAGCGCAACACCAGGAGTAAGATGAAAGTTGTACATTTGGACAGATTGACGAAATATCATGGGCGCGAAGTTGATCGGGACGATCAACCTTAAGAGGAGGGCAGTGTGACGAGCGTCCGCCAATATGTAAAGAATCCTTGCATCCGCCAATCTGTCGAATAACCTGGAATCTATAGTGAATTATTCTACTTTAATCGAGAAAATAGGATTAACGTGTGTATTCTAGATTTTACAGGAATAGATTTAGGGATATATAAAGGATGCTATTGCTTTGAAGGTTTAAGTTTCAGTTCGACTGTGATACGATTTAAATAGTGATTGTAAAGAGTTTAATTGTTGAGTTAGTTATTAAAGTAATTAGTGTCAGAGTGAATTGTTACGTGAAATAAATTATTGCTGTGTTAACTGGACTTTGATTTTTGGAATAAACGAAACGAACACAAGATTTCTGTCAGGCAATCCAAAGCCGTGACAAGACTATAGATGTGATTTTAGTTGGGTTTTATTCATCAAAAGTTAGGCACATTTATGAACTACGGTTCTCACTACACTACCATAAAAGAAGCGCCTATGAAAATAACTCTTGAAAAAGGTTAACTTCTCAAAAATTGCATGCCTGATTGTGTTCTGAAAGTATCTTAATGAATAGATTATATTTAATCGCTACCACTAGGGGAACATCTTTACTAGAAAAAGATGAATATTAATTATATTGTTAATATTTTAGGGTCTCTTTTCGGCTGTCTATCGCTTCTTTTTTTAATTGTTATTGGAATTGTTGTTTGGAAAAGAATTAGTCATTGTCCAATAAGAAGAGGTTGTGAATTTGACAACATATACGAAAGGGTAAGAATATTCTTTACTATGTATTAGAACAAAAACTGAATACTTAACACTTATAGAGGACTACTCGGATACACTGTGATTAAGTTTGCCTTAAGGTTTTTTTTCTATGTTTCAGAACACACAGTTATGAGTCCTTAATTCACAAAATATATCCCAGTGTTACCTGAGACTGATGAATGCCTAACGAATAAGAAGCTTTTTAATTAGTGTTTGAATTTTGTTTGTAAATGTTTATTATTTATTTGAAATTTGCTTGAATAAGTTAAGGTCTGATTTATGTTTTTCGAATACAATCGCAAAATTGAAGAGGCTATACGAAAGTTGTATCTAACAAAAAAGATATAAATTTTCTTGGTAAATATTGACATAATTTTTTAACACAAAGCAAGTGCTTTTTGAATATTAGGTATATAGAAAAGTGCTTGGATCTTGAAAAGTAATTTAGTTTCAGTTTTAGCTATAGTTTGTTTTTGAATGGTTAATCTATTTCGTATTTGATTCACTAGCTAATAACTACGTTTATTCTATGCGTTGTATCCAGATACTAAGTGGATTGGATCAATAATAGGGATTATTAATCCTGAAAAAAACACCCAGGATCAGAGAAATAATTCCGGATCGGAGTACTGAATCCAATCCTCCAAAGGATAACGCACACCAAACATGGAATTTTTGGGCTCTATGGATTTTGCCCATTTTTTGATATGTTATAGAGGATTCAATTCTTAACAATTTTTAAATGAGACGAAATCTTGTAGGTATCACGGTCTTTGAGATATGAGCGTTGAAAGATGAACTTTTTTGCGACTTTTTGTATGGGGAGTATACGAGAAACTGGTGTTTATCAGTCAAAATATTGACAGGTCGACATATTCACCTCACTAACAAATGCCAAAGGCTAAGGCTGGGACCGCACTGGCGCCAACATTGACCCCAGTGCGGCCCCGGCCTTAACTTATGTTGACATTAATTTATAAGTGACGTAAAATATGTGAACCTGTCAATATTTTGACTGATAAACACCAGTAGCACTAGTATCTCGTATACTCTCCACTCCACACAAAAAGTCGCAAAAAAGTTCACCTTTCAACGCTCATGTCTTGAAGACCGTAGAACCTACAAGATTTCGTCACATTCAAAGGTTGTTCAGAATTAAATCCTCTACAACATATCAAAAAATGGGTAAAATCCATAAAGCCCAAAAATCCTATGTTAGGTGTGCGTTATCCTTGTAGGATTGGACTAAAAATGGATTATCTCAAATGTGAAATAAACAACTATCTCGGGTTTAAGAACTCTGTTGCTAACTTCACGAAAAAAACACATTTGTCATTTGTCATTTTTTTGAGGGTTGATGTTATTTAGTTTTATTTGAATATTTTTTGATTAAAAACCGGTGTGAGATAAGAAGATATTTAGCTTTTAATTGTTAATTGAAACTAGTTTTCATCATTGGTGCCTTTTATGAAGTTAGGATTAGCACTTATGCATTTAATAGTTGTGAAATAAACAAATATGGATTAATTAACCTTAATCCACTTAATCTCCGGATACAACGCGTGAAATAAACGTAGTCAGTCATGATATAAGTGCTATAAAAGTGATATTTTGTTTTGTGAGGACTACTAGACTAACCTAAACTACTTCCCATCTATTTGAACGAAAAGTAACGTTAAACAAAGATTTTTCAAACGGATAATATATTAATCATTCATTATTCAATAGTTTTTTATATGCTGTGGTTTTTATAAATCACTTTTGACACAAGTATATTGGGTACCTACCTACTATTTTTATAGAATGCCCTTTTATACACTGACAGATGGCATGCGTTTAAAATTATGCCTTTGCTGACGTTTGTAAAAAAAACAAATGGGTATTGAGATCAGTTTAATCATAAGATTAAACGAACTTACCTAACTGAAGTTTGATCTTGATTATAGTAAGGTCTCGTCGAAGTAAATAGGTGTTCTGTAGTACCCATGCGAAGCCCGGTTTTACCACTATATTCAAAGCAAATAAGGTCCCACCACCCTCCATGCCCTACGCATCCCGTTGAATCAGTCTTTTTCAAAGCTATATAAATCCTCTTGTTGCAAATCCAAGGGAATGAAATATGATGGGTAGGGATGGGTTTTATTTACTTCGACGAGGCCTTACTATAATCAAGATCAAATTTCACTTAGGTAAGTTCGTTTAATCTTATGATTATAGACGGTCTCGTCTTGTAAATAAGTGTTCTGTAGATTTTTAAAGAGAGATCATATATTCCAAAAACGTAAAATAAGAAAAACATCAACTGAAAGATGAGACGCACTAGGCAAATGATAATAATACGTAGGTAGTAATACTCGTTCAACAAAAAACATCAACTGAAAGAAATACAACGCACTAGACAAGTGATAATAGTAACAATAGTTTAACCTAATTTTAAGTGCTAAAGACAGCATTAGCGAAGCTACTTTCGGGCGCCAACGGCCTGTTATAAAACATAGCGAACGTTCTAAAACTTTCAGTCCATCCGGCAGCCAATCTAATGGTGTCGAAACTAACCCCTTTCCTAGCAGCCGCAGAGGTAGCTGCGTGTCGGATGCTATGAGCCGAGAAGGTGTTTGTATCTATACCACAAGATTTTAAGATACATTTTAACCATCTACCGATGGTCTGCCTTGTAGCCCTATGATATGGTTTTTTAACCGTTATAAACAAATGCTGACAAGAACCTGTCAAGGTATGGGTTCTTTCCAAATAAGAAATCAGGGTCCTAGATACACAAACGTTGGGATCTTCATCAAAAAATGGAAAAACTAGTATAGGTTGAGGTCTGGAAGAATGGGATGTTGTTAAACGACCTGGGATCTTGATCTCGATTCTCTTGTCCTTCACTTCTATATTTATTATTTCAATACTGTGTAAAGTTTGAATGCGCTGACCAGTAGCCAAAGCCAACAATACACAACATTTTTGTGTAAGAAGGTCTAAGGAGATAGATACGTTGTCCAAATTGCGGACATATCGTAATACCTCCGAAGGATCCCAGGAATTGTGATATTTAGGTAGCGCAGGTCTAAGACCCGACACTCCTTTAAAAAACCGTTTTATACGGAAATCTTGTGCCAAGTCTGGACCAGCAATCTGCGCTATGGCCGACCTATAAGTATTTAGTAAACTAAAAGAAGATCCCCATCTGAATTGTTTTGACAAAAATTCCAGAACGTTCACTACGTTCACCGGAAAGGGATCTAAACCCTTTGGACAACAGAACTCCCACCAAGCCTTGAGGCCAGATGAATATTGTTCCAAAGTTTTGCATGAGACCGAAGCAACACATATTTCCAGGGATTGCACTGGCACCTTTCCTAGACGCAGCGCTTCCATGACAATTTCCCTACCACCAAGGAAAGGTCTTTGGACAACGGGTGAGGAATCCTGTTGAAAGAAATCAGGTCGTTAGTTGGCTTGAAGATTGATGGTTTATCCATTAGTAATGACAAAAATAACGGATACCAAGGTTGAGAGATCCAGAGAGGAGCAACAACAATACCCTCCGCTTTATCGCTAATAATTTTTTGCAAAACCTTCAAAACTAAGGAAAAGGGAGGAAAAGCATAAAATTTCAAGCCTTGCCAGTTAATGGTAAAGGCATCAACTGAAAAAGCCTCGGGATCCCTCAGCCAAGAAACAAATTTTTTACATTTTTTATTTATTCTGCTGGCGAAAAGATCAATAGACGGGAATCCAAAAGTTTTCCCTATTCTTTGGAAAGCTTCATAAGAGAGGCTCCACTCTGTCTCTATTTCAAGTTGGCGAGAGGCGATATCAGCTTCGACATTATCTACAGATGGAATGTATGCCGCACGAATAAAAATGTTTCTTTTTTCACACCATTGCCAAATCTGCCGTGCAAGAGCATTTAATGTAAGATGTTGAATGCTACCCATGCGATCGACATACGACATGGCAGTTGCGTTGTCTACTCTGCACAAAATGTTGCAGTTGTTAAGATGTCCAACATTTTAACCCAAAAAATAGAGCCAATAGTTCCAAATAATTAATGTGATAATTGGCCACCTTAGAATCCGACCATAAACCATGACTGCTAACTAGACCCTTCTGATAAATGCCCCAACCCGTTAACGAAGCGTCCGAAAATATCTCTAAACAGAAGGAATCAACACGAATACAATTTTTTGAAACTGGTAGGTTTTCAATCCACCATTTCAAATAAAAAAACACACATTTAGGCAAAATCATAACTGAATTATAGTTGCCTCCAGATTTTTTCAGAGCTAAGAATTTTGCTCGTTCCAAAACTTTTGTATGGAGAAAATCAAATTTGATTCCTGGACAAACCGCAACTAGTTTGCCAACTAGCTGAGACAACTCTTTTATTCTACATGATTCTTTATGTTTCCGCTCAGTGGGATACAGTGACATTTCACAAGAGTCATAAGAAAAACCTAAATAAGTACATCGCTGAGAAGGTGTCAAACTACATTTTTTATAGTTAACTATAAAACCAAGATGTTCGAGCAGACCGATGGTAGCTTTAACATTATTCGAACACTCCTCAAAAGTATCACCTAGTTATAAGAGGTCATCCAAGTAAATCACAGAAATAAAGCCCTTTTCTCGCAATACTGATATGACCGGCTTCATTAACTTAGTGAAGACATAGGGGGCGGAACTAAGACCAAATGGTAAGAAATTAAATTGATAAAGTGTACCCTCAAAGAAAAACTTCAAGTATTTTCTATGGCATTCCTTGATTGGAACTAACAAGTGAGCATCCTTAAGATCAATAGTCGCCATAAAGGATTTGGGCTCAACCAAACCGGCCTCTTCAATTTTGAAATGTCTAGTAATTACATGTTCGTTGAATTTTTTCAAATTTAGAACAAGCCTATAAGATCCATCCGATTTCGGAACCAAGAAAATTTTTGATACAAATTGGTTTGGGCATTCGGATGTACGACCATCAATAGCACCCGATAACAAAAGGTCATTTATGGATTTTTTAATTAAGCATTTTTCGTTGGAAGACCAATGGTGTTCCTTACACTCAACTTCCTGCTTCGGGATTCTAGCAAAGGGGATTTTATAACCTGATGACCAGGCTAAAATAATTTTATCATTGGTATAACATTGCCATTCATTCAGAAAATACTTCAGACGACCGACATGTGGCTCGATAAGTTGGTGTGGCTGTGGCTCGACCCTACCTGGCGCCGTCTGTCTCCCCCCCTTATTTTGATCGCCACTAGGTGACTGGGAACGCGAACGGAAACTGTTCGGAGTTGTTCCCGGCGATTCTGGCGAAGGCGAAGGGGACACCAAGCGTCGACGACTACGACGCCTCGAGTAGCGTCGATCAGCGGACCCATAGGAACGGCGCGAATCAGAACTACTGGAACCACGCCGCCTTCTCCTCGAAGATCGACTACGATGCCTTGACGAACGTCTTTCACCCTCGATCTTTTTAAATCTTTTATCGAAAGATTTTACCGAATTCAGAATCTCCGATAACACTCCCCGGTCCCCGGAAAACGACCGGGATCGTTTGCCTTTCGGTAAAGGCATTTTACTGGCACGAAAACACAAAAAAAAAAAATAGAAAATTTTAAATTACACTGGGCGGGGTAACGCGGAGACGTGTAAACACCGACACTAAGCAATAGACTGATTCAACGGGATGCATAGGGCATGGTGGTGGGACCTTATTTGCTTTGAATATAGTGGTGAAACCGGGCTTCGCATGGGTACTACAGAACACTTATTTACGAGACGAGACCGTCTATAATAATTAATTATACCACTTACTAACGGACTTTCTACACTTTTGACTTTTTTTCATACCTAACTATAGTTGAATAAATCCAAGTGGCAGTAATGACATTGAATAACCTAAATTGTAAACAAATACCAACTGGTAATCCAGCCTTCACTTTTTATTGATTGAAATCTAATTGAAACGTCCTACCAGGACCAGTGCGCATTCACAGAGGACATTTGATAAGTTGTAATGGTTGTTATTACTGCCGCTCGGATTTGGTTCAACTATAGGTTGGTGCAATGAGATCAAAATATCGATACTTTTTTTACTATCAATTTTCCATTAGAAAAAAAAAGAATTCCAAATAAACTGCCAATAATTAATGTTTACTATATGGTTTCAACCAAAACTAATGATTGTTCCTTTTGTTATTCAACAGTATTAATAGCTACTAGGTGTGTATCACAATAATTTTCGAATGTAGCAAAATCTCAATTTTTTCCTTTTCTGTTGGCATGTATCAACATCAAACTAAATCGGATTTAAATTTCATGAAATTTTTGAATCAAGCAAAATTTGATTTTGAAAAGTCATTCCTAAATCGAAATGCTTTATATCCTCTGAGGTTGATATTTACACCGTCCATTCAGACTTTCCCTAATTCTTAATTTACTTACCATTTATATAAGTACCTATGTAATATTATGTATTACTAAGTTTTAGAATAAGTTTTACAGGGTAGCTTTCTAATTAGGTCTTTTTTTGATTTTATTTATCTAACGAGAATATTGTGGTTAGTTGCTAAAAAAAAATATCTCAAAATTATTTTCTAGTTTTATATTTTTGTTTAAATTGTTGCAAATTAAAAAGGTTATTTGGAGATTTTTTGTTTTTATTTATTTTTCCCAGTTAGACTGGAAGTTAGACGGATATGAGTATGCAAAATGTGAGGACCGGCAAAAATGCTCGAATTCGTATTCTTGTGATTCTAAAGAATAAGAAAGTACATCTTGCCGGCAGCTGGAGTGGTCCCTAACTTTCCTGCCATCCCCCAATGCAAAGTTATATTGAAAATATCACAATTTCAAGACATTTGACAATAATTCCTATTGATTGTACCTAAGGCTTTCTTCTCAAGCACTCAACATAAATCACCTACCACTTATTGGATATCTTTGCAATTCTGCTCGAAAATATACACAAGTAAAAGAAGACTGCGAGATGTACACTAATGTACAGGGTCATCCAACGACGACTGAACAGGGGCTTATTTTTGACCTTCCCTGTTCCTGTGGGTTCGAAAAAATTCAAAATAGCCAATTGGCATATTTTTTTCTGGATAATTCCAAAATGGTACAAAAAAATCATTTGAACCAAAAACCAGATAGTTACGCCATGGGCTAGAGTTATTTTAATCACGGGGCTCAGTCTATAATTCTATTGGTCAGCGGATAATTTGGAACCAATCAAAAATCGGGAATATTCAAAATGTGATTTTTAGTTGATATTCTGAGTTTCAGTTATCTCCGATATACCGGAAAAAAGTTAGCCTAACCAACTTTCTTGATTTTGAATTTCCAAAAAAAAAAAAACATCGGATTCGGATAGAGGAGCAAAAAAAACGTTGAGATTGAGAAGCTTAGGGGACCCTGCTTGCTATGACGCATTTTAAAGCCGGAAAAAAATTAAAAAAGGATATTTCGATTTTGGCCAGATAAAAATTTCGGCGATCTGACGCGACGTTACTTTTTCGCTTATAGCTCCGCTATTTCTCAACCGATCGTTTCGAGTTATATCTGTTTTGAAAGAGAATTAAATTACCTATAAAATATTTTTTAATTGAGAATCCAGGCCGTTTTCGTCTTTGAGATATCAGCTGTCAGTTGAAATTCTTTTAAAAAAATTTCCAGGTCGATTTTCTCGAAAACTATGTCCCATGGCGGGATACTTCTCATAGGCTTTTTTGTAGTACTCGACGAGATTTATAAGTTTTATATTTGAAGTTTTTCTCCCCAGCTTCTCGTTTTCGAGTTAGGACGCTTTGAAAATTAAAAAAAATAAATCGAAAATAAAAGAATAGAAATTAAAAAAAATACGACGAAAAGTTAATTTGACCCTCCTCGCTACGGCACGTGGGTACCCGACACGAGGCCACTTTTTCGCTTATAGCTCCGCTATTTCTTAACCGATCGTTCCGAGTCATATCTCTTTTGAAAGAGGATGAAATTACCTACAAAATATTTATTATTGAGATTCTAGGCCGTTTTCCTCTTTGAGATATCAGCTGTCAAAGTTGAAATTCTTTGTAATTTTGTATATCCTCCGATTTTTTTTTTCGAAAAAATTCAAATTTTGAATTTCGAAAAAAAATAAATAAAAATAACATTGGAACCAAAAAATACGAAGAAAAGTTAATTTTGACTCTCCTCGCTACGGCGCATCTTAAGGCCGGAAAAAATGAAAAAGGAAATTTCGATTTTGACCAGAAAAAAATTGTGGGTACCCGACATGAGGCCACTTTGTCAGAATCCCTGTCCTGCAATTATTCGTCAGAATAATTGCAGGACAGCACAGACTAATGTCAATTAGAGGTCGACTGGAGGCTAAACTCTCACATGCTTCACTGAAATCAATCTAGCATTCAAATGGACCGCGGATCTGAGCGTTCAATACAGTGTTGCCAGAGGTGGTACAATTGTACCAGGTTTGGTACCATTCGTTTTGAAAAAGTACGCTGGTACGACGTTGGCATATTAGGTACAATTTTCAAATTTTTTATTTTTTCCAAATTCTCAAAGAGTTTTAGCCTACTGCCACTGCCTACTTAGTCGATGTTCTAATTAACTTGTATTTCTGTATCATAATTCCAAATTCGATATGACAATAATTTTTGATTCGTAAATAGATGGCGTCACCGCGTCACTAATGTAATACTCGTTTTGTGGTTTTTGGTTGACGTAGTTTGTGTTTTGTTTAGGTTTTCGGCAGAAAATAAAGAAAACTCAAATCCTCGTACTTTAAATCGGTTTTCCTGATCGGAAAAGCGGAAAATCCAAAGAAAAACCATTGAAAAATGACATTCCAAAGCCTACTTGATGAAACTTAAGTTTTTGTCACTTACCCCGTTAGCTCAAAATTTTTGATACAAAATGAAGGAAACTCATCAAATCGATTTTTCCGATCGAAAACAGCCCGAAAAGTGGAAAATTCGAGGAAAAACTGGATAAAAATGTAAGGACGTCAAATGAAAATAGCCGTCTGTCAAAAATGACAAATGATATTTATTACAAGGCCTCCTTGATTGAAGTTAGCCACAAACAATGTTGCCACATCAAAAGCACTTTAAATGGAATTTTGCTAATTATGGCATTTAAAAGTGGAAGTTTTTGCTAGAAAATGAAGAAAACTCAAAGCTTCGTATGTTAATTCGCTTTTTTCCATAAAAAATTCCCAGAAAAGTCGGAAATTCCAGGAAAAACTGGCAAAAAATCATAAGCCGTCACTTCAAAATGGCCGCCTAAAAGCAAAATTTCCACATTACATCTCGGAAAAGAAAAATAACATTTAAAATGAGTTTTTTGTTTGAAATTTAATTAACAATTGTTGAATAATTATTAAATAATAATTATGATAATTAAAATTCCCTAGAAAAAGCATCGGAAAATTGTTTTTAGTTTAATTTCAATTAAAATGACATTACAAGGTTTACTTGGTGATTATAGTGAGTAAGACAAAGACAACGATAAAGTAGTATATGTTTGCAAAAACCACCGTTTTCTGAAAAAAGTAAAAATCTTAAGAAAACCCAATAGAAAACCAACATTCCAAAATCCAAAGTCAACTTGATAAAACTAAGGTTTTTGAATATTCCCGGCTCTTTGATTGGGCGCTAAAAATCGCATTTTGAATATTCCCCGTTTTTGATTGGCTCCAAATTATCCGCTGACCAATAGAATTATAGACTGGGCCCCGTGATTAAAATAACTCCGGCCCTTCGGGCTCGCGTATAATTAACAACATTTCCCGATCGAAACCGGCCTGGAAAAGTGGAAAATTCGAGGAGAAACTGGATAAAAACACTCGAAAATGGCCGACTGTCTAAAATCCAAATGACATTACATTACAAGACCTACTTGATCAAAAGCGACGTTGCCATAATTACAATCTCAAACATATAGTTTTTCCAGATTTTAGTGAGTAAAACAAACAAGATAAGGTAGGATACATTAGTAAAAAAGGCAAAAGCGATTATAAATGAATAAAACAAAGAGCGAGATAAAGTAGGAAACAATTTAAGTGATCAGTTGGTAAGATGATCAGTTGGTCGTGCCAAACTATCATCAGAGTAAATTTTCGATTGTTCTTGGTTCAATCACTCGGAATAATTACTCAATTTTTTTTGATAACTGACAAACCTACATAAAATATTATGACTTTTGACAATTATTGACGAGTTAATTTTCAGGACCACCTACGATTGTTATGACTTTTTTTGTCAATTGACAGCCTTGTGATTCAGATTGAGGCCTACAACAGCAACGTTGCCACGTTTTAACAATTATTTTGGAGTATTTGTAATTGTACCAAAGATGGCGGCAAATGATGACGCTGATTCCGAACCTCCCGAATTATTTTATAAATGCTGTGTGAAAAAAAAGGCATCAAGTATTTTAGTGTGTGTAAATTGTGGTGCTATATTCCATTACAGCTGTTTTCAAAGAAAAAAGGCCATAACTATTGATAGCACTAGAGTTATATGTTGTTTAAAAAATATAACCTACAATTCGAATGAAGTAAACAAACTAACTGGCATGGAAATGGAAAATTTTCTATTTAAATTGATTTTACAACAGTTGCAGGACCAACACCTGGCTATTCGAGATGACTATAGCAAATTAAAGGTAGAATTAGCTGAGGTTACTGAAAAATATAATAACCTAAAAAATGGTGAATTTCCACTTTTGGCCCCCTCAGTGTTCGACAACAAGGTTTCCTATGCTACCAAACTGAAAAAAGAATCGGTCATTATTGTAAAACCAAAAAAGGAGCAAAATAGTCAAGATACTAAGAAGGAAATTAGACATCGAGTTAAGCCTGAGGGTTTGAATATTACAAGGTTTCGTCAAGCCTCAAATGGGGCTGTGATAATAGGCAGTGAGAATTGCGAGCATGTTGCATCACTCAAGGAACAAATTGAAAGAAAATTAGGCAATAACTATACTGTTGAGGTTCCAGCTAAAAAAAAACCAAAGCTGAAAATTGTAAATGTAAATAGCTCCGATATCAGTCTCGAAGATGACGAGGACGAAATCATAGAGAATATAATAAAGTGGAATAACATAAAGACAGATGGTTGTTACATGAAAATTTTGAAAAAATCTGAAAATAGATATAAAAATGTGGACTTAATTGTGGAAGCTGACTCAAAAACACACAGCATTTTGCTTAATCAAGCTCGTGTGCACATTGGATGGTCCAGGGCTGCTGTTTTTAATCATATAAGTGTCCTGCAATGCTACAAATGTATGGGCTATAATCATTATGCTAAGGATTGCAAAGTGGAATCTCCAGTGTGTTCAAAGTGTGCCGGTAATCATGCATATACAGAATGTGAAGCAACAGGGGCACTGAAATGTCTGAATTGTATTAACAAAAATAAAAATGGCAACAATATGAAACTAGACACAGCCCATTCAGCTTTAGATTGGAAGTGTCCCGTCAGAGAAGGCATTATTCAGGAGATCAACAGAAAGGTGGACTATTTTACCCAAGCAGATAAAGACTAATATTTATTCCACAATGACAAGAAAACATGCAAAAAAGACTCTCTTAAATCTTGCTCATCTAAACCTGAGGTCGATTTTCACTGGTTTTCTCGAA